AAACAGTAGGTACCTACCGCGATTGTTAATTTATTAATTTCCTGAAACGCAATACGATGAGCCAATGAAACTTAAATAAATCTGGGAATTTGAGACAATCTGTAAGCATAGGTAAATACAATTACCTAACTAGCTTTTTATTCCCACGTTGTATAATTAAGTTTCAAATAATTTGTAATTTAAATTGCTACGTGACGTTTCGGTACCTGAGCAGCGATTATGGTTATAGATAAGTGTAATATTAACACGTTGTGCTCGGACGTTTTCTCGTCGAAATTGACACATAAATATCGATTTTGACATCTACCTGCTGGTTTGGCGACTATCTAGCTCTATAATAGTATAATCAATCAATCTTTGATGATTAATCTATGAAGTGGGAGCATTCAGTGGTTTTTGGTTTGAGTGTGAGTTTGAGTTGACGATCTTTAATTAAATTTAAAGTTTTTGGTTATTTGATTAACCCAGGGTTTAACCAGACACCATACAGAATAAAAATTTCAATTACATGCCACTGGAACTTTGAACATACATTAGGGCTTTACGCAGTCGCGCTGAGTATCTTTTTGTTGCAGACACCGCACCTAATGTTTTTTGGTCTGTCGCTGAATTCGACCATAATATTTCGCGGATTCCCGCATAATGCCCTCGGTACTTTAATCGCCACTTTTTCTAAAATTTACAGATTACGTCTTCAAAATGATTGCTACATACATACAATTTGAAGTCTTTACCCAAACTAAAATCCAGGTGGTCGACTTTTTAACCGCTCGACGCAAACGCTATCGTGATTTAACGCCCATCCCCCATCGGCTCTCTACTAACAACTTAATTCCCACTACTTTTTTTAGCGCATTTTTTAAGAATTAAAAAAATGGGGAAACACATGTTCTACCCTTCATGGTATTCTAATGAAAGGTCTCATCAAAATAAATTGGTTTGTACAAACTATAACTTTCCCGTGCGACTCTTTCGAAATCAGTGAGCGACGGGGCCTGGAGGGGGGGGTTAAAAATTAGTTTTATCTCTCATTGTATTCTAATTAAAGGTCTCAACGAAAGGAACAGTTTTCTACAAACTACTGCTCTTCTTTTTGTCCTCTTATGAAAGTACGGGGTGGAGAGGGAAGGGGGGATGGAAATAGTTTTATCTTTCATGGTACTCTAATGAAAGGTCTCAACGAAAGGATATAATTTATACTAACCATAACCCTTGTCGTGATCGGTTATAATTCCTTATATCTTAAGAGCGAGTTGTCAAAGGAAAGTACCTACAAAAGGCGATTGGGAAGATTGGAAGAAATATAACAATTGGGCATTTAAATAAAATTTGATACATAGCCACTTACAATAAAACAAAATTTAACGCCAGTTTCAAAATTTCGTTTTGCGCATGCGCAGTGCCAACTTTCTTATTTGTGGAGGTATTTAAATAAAATTTGATACATAGCCACTTGGAATAAAAGCAAATGTAGCGCCATTTTCTAAATTTGGTTTTGCGCATGCGCAGTCCCTACTTTCTTATTTATGGAGGTATTTAAATAAAATTTGATACATAGCCAATTGAAATAAAACCAAATTTAACGCCAGTTTCAAAATTTCGTTTTGCGCATGCGCAGTGCCAACTTTCTTATTTATGGAGGCATTTAAATGAAATTTGATACGTAGCCACTTGGAATAATAGCAAATGTAGCGCCATTTTCCAAATTTTGTTTTGCGCATGTGCAGTGCCAACTTTCTTATTTATCGAGTCATTCAAATGAAATTTGATACATAGCCACTTGGAATAAAAGCAAATGTAGCGCCATTTTCCTAATTTGGTTTTGTGTAGGATGTGCAGGGCCAACATTCTTATATATGGAAGAAATTTCGTAGGGGTGTTTAAAAAAATGCGCTTTACCTGCACCAGGGTTGTGCACAATTTTTACTTGTTTAAATTCGCATCAATTCCGTGGCTCCAACCCTGCCCACCAATTAAAACTAATTTTCTCGTCTAATTCCACGTACACAAAATTCCTGGCAAAATCGTGCTGTAATTTTATCTAATCTCGGCATCTGCCACGACTTCTCGGCGCCTCAAACTTTCATACGCATAGTGTTCAGCAACCACTAACCCGTATACAAAATCGAAAATTTTTTTAGAAAATTTTTGCCACCCCAAAAAAATTAAACTCTAAATTGGAAGAAACTTTCTGTTTGACTTAATTTCGACCATTAAACTAATAAAAAATCTTCTCTCACCCTCGCTCACACACACCTGTTTGTCCTTTTTATTATATCGGATCGTGCCTATTTGAAGAAGAAAAAATGGCATACGCCGCTTCCCTAGATACATAGACAAGAAGTGCTGGACACGGGGGGCATAAACCACTCTAATGTTGCATTGATTGATACCCGAGCGATGTGAAAGACCTATAGCGGAAATCTAAAACCCCGTATAAGTATAGGTATGAAAAAAATTTCTACCCTGAGAATGAGGTCATAAGGTATAATTTAGAGGCGTGATATAGTAACCATTACCTACACACGTGCGTAATGAAAAAAATTAGAATAGATCATGTAGGTACGTTTGGAAGTGATAAATTATCTACAAATGTCAAAACTATAGAAATGGGCTGCATGTGCCAATGTTAAGCGCGGATACTACAGGTGAGCGAGAGGGGAGGACTAAGAGGCAAGCTCTCTCTCTATCGCGCTGGTCGAGAAATGTCGATTATATGCGACCAACAGAAGTGCGATAGTGAGAAAGCTTGCCTCTTAGTTTTCCCCTCTCGCTCACCGGCAGTATCCGCGCTTAGCATTGGCACGCGCACTCCATTTCGATATATGTCGATGGTTTTTGGGTTTTGTCCTTAGACGATACAGTACATGGAATGCTAATTGCGAATAAAATATGGTGAAGGACATCGCCTAGGTCTGTGACGAGGTATGTGAGCTCAGGGTAAACGAGTCTGTTCGAGTTTTCCGATAAGACCCGATTTGTAACTGTCAAAATTAAATTAACAAACACGTCAATTAACTAATCGCCTATTGTCGTCTTATTTGTCGACGTTTAGAAGATATTTAAAGCTTCCCGTACTATTCGGTTGGTTTTTTTAGCGCATTTTTTAAGAATTAAACAAAATGTGCTATTGTTTGTGTTTTGTCCGTCCGTCCGTCCGGACCCACTTCTACCGTTTTGAACTACTTCTAGGGGAATGGTCCTAGAGTCCTGGAATGGTTATCGTGATAGGGTATATTCCCTTATACCTCAAGAACGAATTGTCGGAAGAGGGTTTTATCTGCACAAGAGTTGTGTACAATTGAAGTAATATACTAATTGCGGGTCTGTACGGTTGGCTCATTTATTACCCGTCCTTACACGGGTAAATATACACAAGTACAAAATACATATCATAAAATCTAAGAAAAAAAAATTCGAAATGAAGAAAATACCCTGGCGGAGTCTTTTCATTTCCGATTTGTTTTTAGTGCCCGCGTTTGTAATTAAAAAAGGATTTAAGACTATTGAAAATCGAGATATGCTCAGAATTGTATATCCTAAGAAAACTCAGTGAGTTTTTGTTTGGAAGCACGATATCGGCGACATCAAATCACCAACATGGTCTCGATCACCAACATCTGAAATCCGAATCGGCGAGTATTGAAAAATTTCAAGGACGATAAAGGTGCCGATTTATATATATTTATTACTTAAGCTTTATTCGAGTTATCAGTGAAAGAAACCGAATTGTCTATGTTTTTAAGGATCATAGTGAAACATTTATTTTAGATTTTGCTTGTTTTAAATTATTTGTTAGGATAAAATTAATTATCTGGCTAGTGAGGATATTTTATTAGTTTAGTTAGGGATGCAGTTTTTCCTTTATGTCATATTTTCTTGTTTTCTTTTTTTAAATCCATAATAAATGTATTTCTCGGAACTTTAAGGTGAGTAATGGTGGAAGAGAAGTATTACTTTTTATGGAGCCCTCGAACGAAGTGAGATTCGTTGGAGGATTTTCTTTTCAAAATATTTCTTGTGTATATCGAAATGCACAAAAAACGTGGAGGCTGCGATTAAACTACAATAGAATAATTAAGCGAGGTTTAGGTACTCTTTTACAGTTTGGAAATCGATTGCCCCTGAACTTCTACAATCTAATTATTGGTAACTCATTTGATCCACATTATAGCGAATCGAGTGGCGATTTCTATTTCTGTAATAGATTACGTAGTTATAGGTAGCGAATAACAAGAACCTAATCCAATTTGTAGTAGGTATAGCAAATTGCTTCCTAAGGATAAGCAGATTATCACACGAAAACACAAACAAACAAAAGCAAAATCGAGTTGCAATGCTGAAAGCACGTGCCGTAAAAGCAAAACGTGATCTCCTACCTCTGCCGGCAAAAATTTACTTCTCCTAAATACATTTTTCACCGAACGAAACTCTCCATCCTGCATTTTTTCATCAATTATAGTCATTGGAAGACTAAAAAAATGTTTGGCACTTATCACTACTGATTTATCACTTTTATCAGTCTTAGTATTAATACTGCTACTATCCGTACAATCGTCCTTACTCTCCTCGTCGAATTTATACTCGATGTCACTAGCTTTAATCAATTTCGGAGATTTCTCACCGTTTGGATCGACATTCTCTTGGTCCCTTTTCGATTTGAACATCCTTCCGGTGCTCTTCAAAATTTTCTTGCACTTGTCTTTGGATGATTTGTACATCTCTTCGATGTGTATGACTGTGCTATCTTTGTCTGGAAACGCACCCACCCTCTGCTTCGCCGCGTGCTCGTTGACCATGTGATCGAATTTGGCTCTCAGATTTATCCACGTTGTGGCTTTCGGTTTACGCAGAAAGCTAACTTTGCGTTTCTTGAATGGCATTTTGCTTCGCACTCTGCAGTAGTCCATAGCGGGTGAACCCCTATCGACCTCGTTACCTTCCGACTTCTTAACTATAATTTGACTGCACGAAATGTGCTCTATACTCGAATGCGCGGACGATATGCAGTCGATCTGCTCGATCTTGTTGAAGTCGTTCAACGAATGGGAATGGCGAATTTTTCTCACGGCCCCGGGAACTTTGTATAATCCGTCGTCTTCGTGTTCTAACTCAAGCTGGCTGTGGGATATATTGGGATCGCTGCCGCTCTTCATTAATCTTTGACTACACGAGCAGTCGTTTAAACTTTTCGTCAGTTCGAAATTAAAGTACTCAGATTTGATGAAAGAGTTCCCCAAGTCGTCCGCACTCTTTGATATGGTAGGCGAGCTGGAATTTTTCGAAAGTTCCGATTCTTGAATTACAATCGTTACCTCGCTAATGTGAGTGTGGTCCTCTTCGTTACTACCTATTTTTGGTTCTATTTTCTGTTTGCGTTCTACGTTCACCACCTAATAAGGGAAACGAATATGTATTAGTTCAATGTAGATTATATCAAACGATTGCCATTACCAGAAAATTTTCTTTCGCAAATAGATTTTTTGCACTTTGATTTTATTGGTCCAAATTGGTTTGTTTGTATTTCTTCAGTTTGCAACGAACAGCAGCAAATTAATTTTGTATCAAGGACGATCTTTCAAATTGGCAATTACTTACAACAGACGAATTGATTAACTCGACTGAAACGATTCTATTCAAGAATGACATACCCTCAATTCTAGAGGTCAGAGTCAATATGATTACGTTTTCCTTCTACACGAAAACTATATTTGCAATAAAATGAAAACATCGAATTGGTTCATTTGAAATACCTAACGTATACTTCAAAGTCTGGCGCTATTACGCAAGGGATGATACCCCGGAGATTTCGAAAAATGGATCAAACGCAATCTAAGGCCCGGTGCACATGAGCTTCAAAGTAATCGAGATTGTGTTCTATCAGTTAGAAAATAGAAATACGTTGAGTAAATGCACAAGACACGCCCATACCTATCGGATACCCTGACCCATTACTCCCAACGTCTTTGTGACTATCTATATGCTGATATAAAAAGCGTCTTCATGGCGCATTAGAGCGGGATCGCAATAATTCTCATTATGTGCTCGTAATTAATTACAGGGTTAAATGTGCATTTTGCATCTAAAATACCTATATTAGGATGACTGAGGATAGTAAGAAGAGGAAAGAAGTGGAAACGGAAACATGGAGGAAGATAGAGATGGGAAATACACATACATGGGAAGGAGAGGGAAGTCGATAAATTAATTACATACAAGTAAACGGAAAAATTTTGAAAGCGATAGAAAATGTTAAGGTAGGAACAAGGGCAGGATCGGATCATCAACCGATGGAAATAACGCTATCAGAGAAGATAAAAGAGCAAGGAATGGGAAGATTCAAAGACGAATGGAGATACAATTAGGGACAATTAATTAATCAATTAATTAGGCGGAGGAATAGAAGAAGACTAGAGGAGGAAGTATATGAAATAGGAGAGAGCACAGAGGAGTGGAAAAATATAAAGAGTATTAAAAAGGCGATAACAGGTGAAAGAAGAAAAGAGATAAAAGCAAGTAGTTGTGAAACTGAGAAACCGATAAAGAACAATGATGGAGAGAGAAAGAAACCAATACATAGAGGAGGTGAGAGAACAGAAGAAATAGTACAAAAGAATATGTAAGGAAAAAAGATGAAGAAACACCATATGAATTAGAAATATCAGGGAAGTAAATACAGAGATGAACTTTTAAAAGATGATAAACAGAGAAAAGGGAAAAACCCATATAGTGCGGGAGAAAACATACAAAAATAAAGGACCTGAACCAGCAGTTTATGAAGGTACTACAAGGTAAGTAGGAAAAACTGTGTGGGATAGAGTATGAGGGAAGAAAGGAGGCGAGATAGAAGAGATGGAGCAACAATTAAAGAGACTGAAGAAAAGGAAGGAGACAGGGAGGGACGAAATAAGAAATGAGGCATGGATTTTTGCTACAGATACTGTTAAGGAGAAGCTGAGGAAACTAATAAACGAGATATGGAAGAATGGGAGGTAATAGTGCAAAAGAGGACACAAACTGTATGGAAAAATGTTTTAAAAAATGCTATCACTGTCATTTTTTTTTATTTTTTTTTTTCTTTCTATATTCGGATAAGTACATTTGCTGGGTTCCATGTTGAATAATTATTTGCCATTATCTGACTTATCACAATAAATTATTAATAGGGTTAAGTGGTAGAACAGAATGTAGTTTGCACTACACATCTAAATTTCGCCCGTTTGGAATAACGTAATAAATTTAGTTTAATATTCACTAGAATTATGTATTGTTTCTTTTGTACGTTATCCAATAAATGACTATTATTATGGTCGGTGTTTCTTGTGAGAACTCAGGTCTAGCCTGGTTAACTAATCGCACGGATTAAAATCAAGTAACGATTGTTGTGTGTCATGTTGTGAGTCTAAAGTGCTGTTTAGGTTTTTGCGTTTGGATTGAATACTAATGGGTCGTGATAATGTGGTTTGTTATTATTATTATGGTCGGTGTTTCTTGTGAGAACTCAGGTATAGCCTGGTTAACTAATCGCACGGATTAAAATCAAGTAACGATTAGTGTCTGTGTCTGTGTCTGGTGAAGTTATGTAGGGTCCTTAAAAAAAAAAAAATAAAATAAAATAAAATAAAATAAAAAATCCACACACGTACATTGGACATCTAGGGATAATGTAATTCGTACTTACCAACATACCTATTGATGGGCACAATAGCCAACGCTATCAGGAAAGAGGAAAACAAAAAAAATCATTATAATAATTCCTGTAATTTTATTAAATGGAGTTTATTGTGTAAGTGTTTCTTTGGCTTTGCGTTTGGGTTGAATACGAGTGGGTTGTGATAACGTGGTGTTCTTCGGTGAGGATGGAGTTTTGTGTTTTTAACTGTGCTAGGACGTGTAACTTTATTGGGTGGACCTGTCTTTGTGGTACATGTTGCCTTACTTGTATTTATGGTGTTTCTTTGTTCTTGAGGTTGTATTTGTGTTATTGCTTGGGTTATTGGTGGAGGTATTACTGTATTTTGTGAGCTAGTAGTGCTGTTTAGGTTTTTGCGTTTGGGTTGAATACGAGTGGGTTGTGATAACGTGGTGTGTTTCTGTGAAGAAGGAGTTATGTGTTTTTTAAGTGTGCTAGGGCGTGTAACTTTATTGGGTGGACCTGTCTTTGTAGTGCATGTTGCGTTACTTGTATTTATGGTGTTTCTTTGTTCTTGAGGCTGTATCTGTGTTGTTGCTTGGGTTATTGGTGGAGACATTACAGTATTTTGTGAGCCTGTAGTGCTTTTAAGGTTGTTGCGTTTCGGTTGAATACGAGTGGGTTGTTTCTGAGAAAGAGGAGTATTGTGTTTTTTAACTGTGCTAAGACGTGTAATTTTATTGGGTGGACCTGTTTTTGTAGTGCATGTTGCGTTACTTGTATTTATTGTGTTTCTTTGTTCTTGAGGTTGTATTTGTGTGGTTGCTTGGGTTATTGGTGGAGACATTACAGTATTTTGTGAGCCTGTAGTGCTGTTAAGGTTGTTGCGTTTGGGTTGAGTACGAGTGGGTTTTGTTTGTGATAACGTGGTGTGTTTCTGAGAAGCAAGAGTATTGTGTTTTTTAGCTGTGCTAGGCCGTGTGGGTGAGGGCGTCTTTGTAGTGCGTGTTGCGTTACTTGTATTTATTGCGTTTGTTTGTTCAGGAAGTTGTGTTTGTGTGGTTGGTTGAGTTAAGGGTGGAGATATTACAGTATGTTGTGTGTCATGTTGTGAGTCTAAAGTGCTGTTTAGGCTTTTGCGTTTGGGTTGAATACTAATGGGTGGTGATAATGTGGTTTGCTTCAGAGGTGAATCTCTGATTGTAGTATATGTTGTATCATTTGTTGTACTTGTTTGCTCGGTAAGTTGTATTTGTGTGTTTGTTTGGGTTAGAGGTTGAGATATTACAGTATGTTGTGTACCGTGTTGTGAGCGAGTACTGCTGTTTACATGTATACGTTGTGGATCATTTGTGTATGTAGTATCTTGTGTTATGTTTAGAAATTTACGAACAATATGGCATGTGTTGATAATGACTGCTTTTTGTAAATGTTTGTATGTGTTTTTGTCTAACCCTAATAGTTGTAAATTGTGGTGTATTGTCTTTGGTATAACTCCAGTAGCACTAAGAATAATGGGAACTATAACAGTAGATTTCATTCTCCATTGCGTCTTAAGCTCGATAGCCATATCGGTGTATTTGCGGTGTTTTTCTGCATGTGTTTTAGTTAAGTTGTTAGTGTTGGGTATGGCAATGTCTATAATACAAATGGATTTTTGTGTTTTATCTATGAGTGTAATATCTGGTCTATTATTGTGGATAGTTTTGTCTGTGAGTAGTGTCCTGTCCCAATATAATTTGTGTGTGTTGTTTTCAAGTATAATCTGTGGCGTGTATTTGTAGTATGGTGTCGTATCTGTTATGAGATTGTGTTTAAGTGCTAATTTTTGATGTATGATTTTAGCTACCTGATCATGTCGATGTTTGTATTCAGTTTGTGCGAGTCGTGTGCATGCCGATATTATATGTTGGATTGTTTCTGATGTTTGTGAACAGAGTCGACAAGAATCGTTTGTCACTGTTTTGTCTTTATGTATGTGTTTTTTATAGTTACGTGTGTTAATGACCTGGTCTTGTATTGCTAACATGAAACCCTCAGTCTCCGGGAAGATATCACATTCAGACAACCAACTGGGCGTTGCTATAGAATCAACACAACCCTGGCTAACCTCTTGTGGAAATCGTCCATGTAAAGGCTTTTGGTTCCATATTTGTATGTTATTTGTGATGTAAGTTTGGATGTGGGTGGGAGTATATTAGTTTCGTGTAGATTAAGTGGTGTGTAAGATTTATCTGCATATGTTACTGTTTTGTGTAAAACTGAAGTATCTGATTTGTTATAAAAGTATTGTCGTAAATTGTGTATTATTTGTGTTTGGTGCAATAGTTTTATGTCTGTAAGTCCTCTACCTCCTTCCGAACGAGGAAGGTAAAGTCGTATAGTAGAGGAGTGAGGGTGATGTATATGGTGTTTTGTTAATAGTGTACGTGTGTTTCTCTGTATTTCTGTATTATTATTATTATTATTATTATTATTATAAAATTATAGGAGAATCGCGACGGCGTATAGAAAGTATGGGAAATGATGGGGGGTGGAAAAATAGACAAAAAATTAAACAACAGAATTAAGGAGTTACATGGAGAGACAAGAAGCGGGGTAAGGATAGGAGAGAAGGAGTCAGAAGTGTTCTAGACAATAAAAGGATTGAGACAGGGATACCCACCTTACTTAATCTCTACCTAAGGGATATGGAAAAAACAGGGTCAAAGTGAAGAAATCGTGATGGGAAGAAGGAAGATATGGTTCCTGGCTTAAGCGGACGACAGTATTATTGGCAACAGAAGAAAAAGAGATGAAGAAAATCATGAGAACAATAGAGATACTGGGAATGAAAAAGAATGGAATTAAATGTCGAAAAATCGAAGATGATGAGATTTAGAAAGGAGAAGGTACGAACAGAGTGATAGAATGAAAGTGGGAGGATGAAAGGATGGAGGAAGTAAGAGACCTAGGACACCAAATACCACGAAATAATGTTGCAAACGCCAGAAAAAGGTAAAAGTTTTCTATTTAAATTCAATACTGAGTCTCGGAAGTCTTCTAACTGAGTTCAACATACATTTTTAAGACTTCGATCTGTTTGTAAAAAGGAGATATTCCCTATTTTCTTCATTGTTCATTTAAGTATTTTAAGTGGTTCTTAACTTAGATAAGAGAAAAGTGGCCACTTATAAAATCATAGTACCATTTTTGACACCAGATGTTCCAATAAAGCTTATATTCATTTTTGGAGGGCTTTAGGTTAAAATGTTGCTACCAAGATATATGTTTGCTTCGGAGAAAGAGAAAGGACCGGCGAAGCAATATGGTAACACAAAATAAATACGGGAGATGCCCAACTTATTAAGCAACTATGGGTTAAACGCGAAAAAGCTGAGATCATCAGCGACATAGCTAGTCAAGGCATAATGGAACCCTTGCCCTTGGACGTTATCTGTGGTGCTAGTGAAGAAGAAAGATGGCAGCACGAAGTTTTGCGTAGATCATAGTATACGGCATAGGCAACTGAATAACGTAACAAAGAAGGAGAGTTGTTCATTGTACCGCATCAATGACACGCTGGATACGCTTACGTGTGCTAAGAAGTGATTTTAGATATAAACATCGCCTACTGGTATGTTGGTTTGGATAATGAACATCGCGAGAAGACAACCTTTAGCATAGGGTCGGGTCTATGGCAATTTACGGTTATGCCCTTTGGCTTGAGTAACGCCTCCGCGACGTTTGAAAGATTAATGGAACTGGTTTTGAGAGGTCTGTTGTTTCAACCCCAGAGGAGATCCCGCAACAGTTTCGTAAGCCGGGGGTTGCTTCTTTAATAATTTAAGAAGGGAAGATGCACGAAGGCGAGCACGCAGGGACCATGAAGTTCGCGTGTAGAGAACAAGAGTTGCCTGGGACTGTGTTTGCGCTACAGCCGTCGTCCGTGTTGCGCGACGCAACAGTTTTAAGAGAGGAGCAGTGTAGCGAATACTCCAGAAATCCCGATAGACATCGAGGCGCCATGAAAGATTAAAATTTGTTATCTGCGATAAAGAGCGAGGGCGGATATGGCGCAATCCTTCCGGGAAAAATGAGTTGTTTATATAGAACATTCCTAAGCGTTCTAAGAACATTCTAGAATTATTTTCGTTTAGTTTATAAGCAAATTGTAACGTATTTCAGTCAGTTCCATCTTCGATGCAATAAATTGTAAGTGATAAATAATAATTACTGCCTGTTATAAGTTAATCCATTTAGGATTGTTAGTTAATTATAAATGAATAAGACCACGTACTTTAATTTACGTCACAATATTATGATGCCACATTTGCAGCCCTATATTGTAACTTCCGTTACATTACCTACCCAGTATTTGTCAGGAGGGAAAAATTCTGAATATGCACATTAAAATGGCTGGCTATATTTCGTAAGTTAAAAGGGTTACTGCAGGAAAATGCTGATGAATGGGTTATACCTACAATGATACGCCGGGTGTAGCACCTAAGATCCATCGGATCATAATTCCTTTACCATAAAGATACCAAAAAAAGTCTTATAGCAAAATTGTACACAATTACCGTCACCATATTTCTAAAATATTTTTGATTACCAGGGGCGTGCTGTATTCCAGTGGCGTATCAAACTTGCATTTTTTTAATAGAACGCCCCATATTTTATTACTGATTTGGAATGTACTAGAAAAATACTTATTTTTTGTATAACATATTATACCCCTAACTTTAACGATTTTACTGTTATAACCTTTTTTCGTCAAAATTTGACAGTTCTTCGAAATTTTTTTAGAGAAACTAAATCGCGCAGACGGCTAATTTTTGAATTGAGGCACAGGTTAAGACCTCTTTCATAGTCACAATTTTTTTTAGGTACTTCGTAAAAAAAATTTAATTTTTGATTGACCTTCGCCAAAAGTCATATTTTTCAAAAATTTCAAATGGCACCCCCGTAAACAAATTATACCTCTGGGTAGCCAAAACTACAAATTTTCTACTGATACAAAGAAAACCACACATTCCATAAGAAAATTTCAGAGAAAAACCAGTCGAAACGTTAATTTGTAAAAAAACCTAATTTTCCAAATCTAAGTGTGCCATGATGAAACTAAAGAGGTTCAATTCTCTCAATTAACAGTAAAGTATCGGCAGTGTATGATTGTTTTTAATCAACGTTGCAAAAATGTCTCAAACTCAAGCAGAAAAGGTTGATATAGTATTTATTCTTAGAGACAGTTACTGGAATTGTTTTGTTTGTTGGCGTCACAAGACTACGCCGAGAGATATCCTGGCAGAATACAAATCTACACGTGTTTGATAAATTTATAACTACTGGGAGTACTAATTTCACGCACAATAATATGACGATTGTCAACAGCTGCCCCAAGAACTTGCAATTCATTATCTTCTGCTCCTTACTCGTTTTACACTCCCAGTAGTTGTAAATCTATCCATCCCTGTTAATTGTGAGAATTGAACCTTTTTTGTTTCATCATGGCACACTTAGATTCCGAAAATAAGTTTTTTTTTTACAAATTGGCGTTTCGACTGGTTTTTCTCTGAAATTTTCTGATGGAATATGTGGTTTTCTTTGTATCAGTAGAAAATTTGTAGTTTTGGCAACCCAGAGTTTAGAGGGGGTGTCTCGGGGGGTGCCATTTGAAATTTTGGAAAAATATGACTTTTGGCGAAGGTCAATAAAAAATTTAATTTTTTTTGTAAAAAAAAATTATGTGGCTATGAAAGAGGTCTTAACCTGTGCCTAAATTCAAAAATTAGCCGCCTGCGCGATTTAGTTTCTCTAAAAAAAATTTTCGAATAACTGTCAAATTTTGACGAAAAAAGGTTATAACTGCGAAATCGTTAAAGTTAGGGATATAATTTGTTATATGAAAAAAGAAGTATTTTTCAAGTACATTCTAAATCAGTAATAAAAAATGGGGTATTTCATTTTAAAAAATGCAAGTTTGATACGCCACTGGAATACAGTACGCCCCTGGTGATCAAAAATGTGTTCGAAATATGGCGACGGTAATTGTGTACAATTTTGCTATAAGACTTTTTTCGGTATCTTTTATAGTAAAGGAATTATGATCCGAGGGATCTTAGGTGCTACACCCTGTACATGTCGAAGTAGACATAGGGATTTTATATAGAAATTTCCTATGTCTACTTTTACATGATAAAAAGTCTTCTGAAAGGACGCCTAATTGTATGCAACCAAAATGACTTCTTGAAACAAATAAAGATCTGGCTGTCATATTCAATATTGTTGCTTTAGCTTTACAGCAAATAAATCTCTTAAGCTCCTTAAACTGTAATCGGCACTATACCATTTGGAAATATCAACTTTTTCTTTAGTTGAATACATTCCACACGAACCGAAATTAGAATAGGGAAGTCAAAGCGATAATATTCCAATTAATTAATATGACTCATTTTTTGTTGTAGGTAGTTACTTTATTAGTTACATAAAGTTAGGCGTCCTTTAGAAGAATTTTTATCATGTAAAAGTAGACATAAGAAATTCCTATAGGAAATCCCTATCTCTACTTCTACATGAATATCATGTATACCAAAGTTCATAGGCGAATTAGTCTGTTTGGTTTTGGCCATAAAACGATTATTATTATCATTATGGTCACTATTTTTGGAAAATTTTCTGTACGAGTTGCCAGCATTAACCGTTACTTTAACGACCGCGATTGTGAAGTTACCTTCTATAGATCGCAATTAAAAAATGTTCGTCGATGAGCTCATATAGTCACTTTGCTAAAGAATGAAGGATTTTATTTCATTCCAGAAAAGTATTCTAAGCATTATTTATAAATAAATACCTACTATATGAATTGCTCCGTTGGGGTAGTCATTCGTGAGTAGAAACGTTTCCAAAGTTTAATCGTAATTACATTATAGGATTATAAAAATAGAAGTGGCCAACTTCTATAAAAATAAATGAAATTCTAATGAAACATCCTCCGAGGAGTTTTCTCCTGAAATGATTGTAATTAGCATATGAAATGTGGAGGTCATTAAAGGGATGTACTGATATTATCGTTAATCAAGGGTGTGTAATTAACCTCCTTCCTATTATTATGCCTGCTTTCATTTTGGTTCCATCTGACCGATCAAGATCTTTCTTTAATAGTCTGGACAATTTATTATTGTGAAAGTAATGACTGTGCCAAGTGTTTTATCCTAAAACAAATACGGTCACTCGGTGCCAGGAATTATTTTTAGTGGCGTTTCGCGCGTAGGAGTATTCGTCAAAAATACTCCCGGATATGCTGCTTTTCGATTAGGCAAAATTTTCTGGTAACGAAAACACAACAAAGTGAAGTTCGGTTTTTTACCTGATAATCGTAATTATTTTGCTCCTCAAAAAACGAAAAACTAATATTAGGCACATCAAATCCATCGCTGCACTCATTCACATCAACTTTTGTAGGTAACTCAACATCGGCATAAACGGAGGAATTCATCTCGTCACTCAACTTTTCACTCATCGCTCTCGCGTCTTGGTACTCATCACTATCAGAGTCACTCGATTCATCTTCCGCGATGATCGTTTTTACAATGTTTCGATTTTGTTCGAACGCCTGTTGTGCTGCTTCAATATCATAGCTACCCGACGCACTCTTTTTAATTTTACCACTACCCGATTCATCTTTTTCTTTACTACTCGATCGTTTGAAAATTGCGGTGTTGATGTTAGGTACGGACACGCGCCACTGTTGCTTACTGATTTTATTGCAAAACTTCTTCATGGTATTATAGGTAGAGGTACCTTATTAATTTAACTATTGAGGTTAATTATTTGTATTATTAAAAATACAGTACTTTAACCGTTCCATTTATTTTCGCAGTACGTACTGACGTATTTTAACTATGTCAATAAAACAATTAGATATGAAACTAATGTACTATAAATATACGGTAGGTAAACGCGCACTATGTTCGTCTTTTATTCTCACCTGTCCGGCGTACTTGTTAAAAAAGAATAGTTAGTTAAAAACTAGATTTAAATAGCGACCAAGGTCGATTAATTGTGTACTTTTTCATTATCATCATGTGATAAATTGTTTGCGGTAAGGTAGCGTATTTAAATGGACACGATTCGTAATTTTCAACCGCACTAATCACCGCGCGCACTTCAAATTGTCGAAACGGCGGAGGAGATTTTTTCGGAAATCTTGATACTGAAGCAGCCCAACGTAGTCTACGAGGTTCTAAAATAAGGAGTAAAACGCGCTATAATTAACGCGTGTGCGCGGTGATAAACTCATCGCTATAGTTATTTGAATGTCCGTGTAAATGCGTTCGAAGTGCATCTAGCCGCAATTACCTAATGCAGTTATTAGGATGAAAAAATTGTCTATGCGAAAATCTGGTCTTTAAGTTACACTTGAGGGATTCGGTTGCAGTTATGTAAGGTTTCGTGCTACGTCCAGACTTGGCCTATATTTTTAATTATAAAAATAAAAGGGCGAATGACCTACGTACCCGTTTTAAATTGGGACACTCGCAGTTTACTTTCATTCGACAGGTTGTTACAAATTGTTGAATTTATCGGGTGTAACAAGGGCACGAATGCACTTTTTAAGTTCGCGCTTCCTGCGTGTTCTTTTAGAAAAAATTGTCCCATACTGGAAGTAGTACACCGACCGCAAAACACGGAAGTAGGTAGGTACCTTTAAATCAACACTGTTGTGAAAAATATAATGAACATGTTCACGCATAGCAGATTTGATGGATTAGTTGGAACCAAAATAAAAGTGAAAGCGGCTATTGTGAAATTTGATTAATTGTCCGCAAAAAATAATGGGAACCGACGTCGTGACACCTACCTATCGTTATCTACTACATTTTTCGATAAGGGTAGGTTGGGTAGACTTCCGACTTACTCACGTTGAAGGATGACTCCTCATCTCAAATCATACATAAAAATCGAAATTCACTTTCAGACATGGCACAAATTACACGACCAAAGTAGGCACCTACGTTCACTTAAGCAAATAAGTCAGTGCTAATGGACTACGTTTAGCTTTAGAGTGTTTGTTGATTATAGATCGGAAGTTGATATTACGTGTAGAAATGCTATACTACATAATTAGGACTTTGTTCATTTCCACAGTGTGGTATACGTGTGGTTTCGTAACTATTTTAAATACATTTTGCATTTGGTCCATAACGTAATCTCTATTGGAAAGGAAATCAGAAATCTATTATATTATGGTGTAAGTAATGCATAATATCGTTAAGAAAACGCCCTTGGGGCCTCTGCACTAAACCAGAAAAGTATCTACTGACAACCCCTAAGTGTAAAAAAAAGACGATTCCAAACACTCTAGATGGATACAGTTGCAGCATGATCCCCCTACTTGCAAAAAAACATTTTCAAGAGATTCTCACAAATGTATCCCAAGTGAAGTGGAGTGGAGTAGTAGGTACATCCATTAAGTTTGTACAGGGTTGGGGGAGAGGTGGGTGACATTTTTGTACAACCAATAGACCCCCTCGCCCGAATACTACCGCATTTTACGTTAGCTAAATCGAACAATAACAGTCCCATGGTTTAGAAGCTTTTAAATCTCGAATTAACTTTTATGCCAGTCTTGTCTTGTCTATGGCCCGTATGAATAAAAATAAGCAAATGCTTATACTTGCAAAATTCAAAGTAAATACTCATAACTGCCCCTTCATACTGGTCTGCTTAGCAGCGCTGCATTGCGTCCTGTCCTTCTGCTTAGAATCGCTGCTCAGTCGCCCAGTGCGAAGGAGCACTTACGAGTATTTACTTTGAATTTTGCAAGTATAAGCATTTGCTTATTTTTATTCATACGGGCCTATGTCTTGATTTGCTATCAACGCCGTTTTAACATTTAATGTGCAACAATACTATAATCTTAATGTAAAGTTTTGCCCTAATTTCTTTTATCTTAATGATAAAATTAAATAATTAATTTTATCTTAATGATAATTTCAAATCATTTTTTTAATCTTGTTGATAATGAAAAAAGAATTATTTTTACCTTGTTGATAATTTTAATTCCATTTCGCCATTTAAAATTATCTGAGATAATTATAAATGACTATTTCAGCCATTTAATATTATCTGATATAAAATTAAATGGCGCCGTGCGCTGCCTTTCTCTCTTTTTCCCTATAAAACAGCGTATTTCCATCTCGTTATGACTTGCAAAGGTGGCCATTTAAAATTATCTAAGATAATCGTAAATGACGGGAGAATTAAATTTATCTTGTTGATAATTTAAATTTTGCTATTTCAAATTATCAACAAGATAAAAAATGATTTAAAATTATCATTATGATAAAAATAATTATTTATTTTATCAAATATGAATTATTTTTTTTTACAAGATAATAAAAATGAATATTTTTATCTTGTAGATAATTTTATTTTGCCTATTTAAAATTATCTTAATGATAAAGTTTAAGCAAACTATTTAAATTTATCTTGTAGATAAAAATAAAATAATTATTTTTATCATAATGATAATTTTAAATTATTTTTTTTATCTGGCCACCTTTGCAAGTCATAAAGAGATGGAAATACGCTGTTTTATAGGGAAAAAGAGAGAAAGGCAGCGCACGGCGCCATTTAATTTTATCTCAGATAATATTAAATGGCGGAATGGAATTAAAATTATCAACAAGATAAACAAAATGATTTGAAATTATCATTAAGATAAAATTAATTATTTAATTTTATCATTAAGATAATAGAAATTGGGACAAAACTTTACATTAATATTATAGTATTGTTGCACATTAAATGTTAAAACGGCGTTCCATAATTTGCTGTATTTTGCGGTTGGCCTATGTTTTTAAATGGATGTGATTTTGTGACATGCTTATCTTCTTCTATCTTCTATACGTATAAACAGAAAGGAATGTTTGCCTGTCTGTCTGTCTCTTATGCCTACCTAAACCGTTCATGTGATTGCGACGAAACTTTGGGAAATGGTTGGTCGTATTTCAAAGTTTGGGTATTGGATATAAAGTGTACATATGTACAGTGTGGTCCAATTTCGATGGTATTAAATGGGTTACTTCCTTATTAGCGCAGATAAATGAACACCGCTTCTCGTGACCTCTTTTTTCATGCCTATTCTATTATACCGTTGCCAGAAATAAGTAGGTACCTAGCCGTTTTTTGTTTTTTCCCTCGTGAGAAAAGTTGAAAAATTGCCAATTCTTTCAATTTGCCGTATCTCCTTTATTTTTCAAGTTGGAACAAAATCGGTTTAGCATTATTCAGGCACTTTTTAACGTAGAAATCAATTCCGTCAGTCGTTTGTTTCTAGTTCTTTTAGTAACTACGCTGTAACTCGAAGTTGATTTTTTTAAAATAGAAATTATAGTTCGCCATGGTTTCAAAAGATCGCTTGTTTTACGAGCTTTCCGAAAATGTATAATATACAGGCTGATTCAAACTCGAGGGCCACCATGGCGATCTTGGGAAGTGTAAGAGATAGGTAGGTAGTTTAAATTTGGCAAAGTTGCGTATTTGATGCTTAACAAAATGCGGTTTATAACTGAAAAGTGTAAAAAGATATTTCAAAAGCAATGACACATAATTATTTATTTTTTGTGTCATTTGAGAGAGAATTGTTTTCTGATTTCAAAAAAATAAATATCACAATTTTTTTAATATTGTTAAAATATCGTTTTTTTACCTAAAAACTTTGTCTGGGGTAGTGTACGTATACGTAGTTTCTTGCGTTTTTACGAATTAATAGCGCTATGTTTTATTAAAAGATAGTGATGTTTACATTTTTGAAATAAAAAAAAATTCTCTATCAAATGACACAACAGTAAAAATGACTTCTATAAGAAAAAACAACGGTGATGATGGTTGACTGGAGACGAAACGTCAAACTTAAAATTTAAATTAGCATCCTGTGGAGGGAAAAAAGTAGTCATAATAATGTGTCATTTATTTTGAAATATCTATTTAAATAACTTCGGTAAAAAATAAAAACGATTTTGCAAAATTTCGTTTTTTTTCCGAACATTTCCGAAAATTGTTGGAATTTTTTTAGTTTAAAAACGGCATTTTATTAAGAATCAAAATACGCAACTTTGCTAAATTCAAACTACCTACCTATCTCTTACAGTTTCCGAGACTCCAATGGTGGTTCTCGAATTTGAATCAGCCGGTATACTATATATATATACTATATATCTACTATACAGCGTGTTTCCTTGATAGGCGGGATATAGGAAAACACATGTAAATTTGAAGGAGGGCATTATAGCTCAGTGATATAGAGCGTTGGGGTATCAATCCGGAGGTCGGGTGTTCGAACCTGGTTTGAGGTGAATTTTTCATCTGTGGAAGAGATGGGAATTTCCTTAGATCAGTTTCGAGCATTCTGCCGGCTATTCCGAATTAGGTTTTCCTGCAGTTTGCCTAATTCGTAAAGTAAATACCGGAGTAGTATAGAACAACTTAAGACCTTCTGCAGGGGCACCTCTAAAAAGCATTATGCGGGTCACTCTGTAATTGGGCGTAAGCCTGTTGAGGGCCTAGAACAAGAGGGACAATAAATAAATAAATAAAGGGTTAGGGAGCGAAAATTATGGCATTTAGATCGACTTGGTAATTTTACACATTAAAGCGAATTTTCTAAAGCAATAAGGAATGTAAGTGAATGTGGTACATTCTTTTCATGAAATATGATATGCTGATTCGAAAAATATCTAGAAGCTTTTGGTTTGCTATGTAAGTAAATGCACTTGTGTTTAATTTCAGTTCCAACATCGATGCCGAAGTGATAAATAGTGAAATTCGCGCTTGTGTTATAAATTTGAGTGCAAGTAAAACTGTTATCAATATATTTAAGAAACGTTCTAAATTCCTTTACAATACATTTACAATAAATCACGTGCTACAGCATAGTGGCTCTTCGATTCCATTCGCGACATTGACGCTTAGGACACTGAAGACTTTTTAGTAATCTGTACTTTCGTATCCAAGAATAAATTAAACACCAACAAAACTGTACGGTTAAGTAATATTACTTACGTTAGAATGTGAAGAATTTTATTATACAAATAAATTGAAGAAGGTACTCCGTACTCATTAATTTTCAACTGTACGCAATATTCTAGGATGAAGGCGCGCAGCAAGTTGTGTAACAGCGTTTTACGTTACGTACCGTTACGACAGAAAAGATATAGCGTTTTCTAACAATATTAACCAGTAACAACAAAAATA